GTGAGATGACATGGTTCATTCAGAATGTCAGCAACCTGGTTCTCAACCCATGGATGGTATATGACATTGGCATGGTATCACTCCATGATCGTGTAGGAACACGTGTACTCCAGAGCACTGGAGAAGACGTGATTCTAGTGAGGGATTGGGACAGGTTGACAAGGCACCAGAGAGAATATTTTTGTAGAAGATACAAGTTGTTGCGTCCAAGTGTTTATGGAACAGAGGAGGACCCCAAGACGTATGCACCAAGTTTTGAACCTGGATTTTCTCAATGGATGGAGTTGGCACAAACTGGATACCAACAGTTTTTCTTCATCCGTGCTTGGGAGAATGGACGCCGTTGGGCTGAAATTCTGACAGACCATGGCATTGCTTCTGCAGAACTTTTAAGTTTCTTGGATATGTGCAGGGATCCCAAATTGCTGGGTTGGAACTTTGGTATCCCAGAACCTCAGTGGGATAATTTCGGCAACTCAGTGGAGGAAGCATTTAACAATCCATTATTTGCCAAACTGCACTATCGTTTCAAGCAGGAGGAAGAGATTGGCCGCGTCATGCACCTTTTGTCTGAACTTGTTTGTGACTTTTTCGTCAAGGTGCTTCCCAGGTGGGTTCTTAAGCATTCGATCTTGTGGGAAGAGTTTATGATCTTGGATCCACACACAAAGCTCCCTCTTTACAAGACTTCAGAGGCCGCCTTACAAGCAGAAGAGGATCCAGAGAAGTATCATACACATTTTGCCATGAACTTCAAGAAATTCCGTTTTTCTGCAAGAATTGTGTGGTATTTGATTGACCGTGACAGGAATCATTTAGAGAGTTTTCTTCACAACTCCAACAGTAGATTTGTGCAACATGCATGCTATCAACTTCGTGAGTATGTTCAAGCGCGTGTTGCAGTTTCTGATCCCTTGTATGAGATGATCAAGAAGGAAGAGTTTGAACGCCAATACAATTCCAAGTTTTTGGAGGCGATTTCTTGCTCTCGTGTTGTAGTTGAGCCTGTAAGTTCAGGGACGTATGAGCCATCATCGAAGCTGAACTTAAAGGTACTACAAGACATCCTGAAGGGTATCTTTAAGATCCAGAAGGATGAGGAGCATGCCAAGGAACGTGAGGAAGAAGAAGAACAGGCAGCTCAAAACATCTCATACCTGTTGGCAGATGATATGGAGCTTGATTTCGATGATGATAATGTTCCAGTATGGCGCTCCATTGTCGACAAGTATAGAGAAGGTGATCAGGTGCTACAGGGAGAAGCTGTGAAGATTACTCACCTGTTCAGGGATAAAAAGGACAATGAGAAGGCGACAGAAGCTTTCAGTTCAGAGAGGACAGATTTTTATGAGACCTCAGGACCTCTTCCAAGAACCATGGGAGAAAATCTTGTAGAGGACTTGCTCACCAAGGATGTTGCAGAACAAGCTTTTGATGCAGGTGAAGAAGTTCCTCCTTATACAAGAGTCTCCACTATCGCTGGTGGAATCTATACTGGAAGTATGACACTTCTAGAAGATGAGGATATGGAAGAGGAAGTTCCTGAAGAAGATCCTGCAGTTGAACCTGAAAAGGAAGAAGAAATATTTGATGAGAATGCAGGTGTTTTTCCTTCAGAGGAACCAAAGATGGAAGTGGACCAGGAGGAAGCCAAGGAGGAGTCAACACCACACTTTCTGTCAAGAGAGATAGGTGAGGACTCGGCTGCATCGCACTTACCATCAGGTGAGATGGATGCTAACCTTGATGATACTCCACGTCTGCCGAAATCTAAGAAAAGCCGCCTGAATAAAATACCTGACCCTCATTTTCATGAAGAAGTTCAGGATGATGCAACCATGGAAGAGAAGAAAGAGGCGGTGGAGAAAATAAAAGAGGTCAGAGAGGATGATGGAGAGAAGAAATTGGAGGCTGAAATCCAGGAATCTTTTCCATCTGAAGTAGTTGTTGAAAAGGATACAACAAAAGTTGACAATACCTATGAGTTGCATACTTCACCTTTGAAGTTGCTTGGAGAGCTTACAGGAGATCCAGGTATTGGCCTTTATCAACAATGCTTCAGGGAAACTCACGCAAGATTGCTGAATCATGTTTGTTTCAGAAAAGGTGAGATTTCCCATCCTCATTATCAGTCAAGGATCAACGAGAATGATTTTGTTCGATCCATTCGTAATATCTGTCCAGTACCTCCACCTGATTGTTATGAACACGAACCAGAGCATGATTTGAAGAGATTCTTTATCAATGATGATCGCATCATTCATTTGGATGGCAAGTATCAGGTCGATCCAAAGGCCCTTGAAAGGGCAGAACATGCTCGAGAAGAATTGGAGGATACGAAGAAGGAACTTAAGAAGGAACTGGAATCATATGGTCCCAAGGGACCCAGTTGGGACTTTGTCACCTTCTATGAAGAGCTGTGCAGAAGGTTCCTCAAGGGAAGAATAGAAGAACCATATGGAACTAACTTATTGGCCAGCTCAGAGTCCTTGACATTTTTATCCTGGAACTATGGCAACATGGTTCGTGGTCAGAAGTACACCACACCAAGGTTTCTCCAAGGATTTGATAGTGCAATGAGGTGGATATGTCAAGATCATTGCTGGACATGATCAAGAACTTGGTCACTGTGAACAGCGTGATGTAACTTGGGCTATCTACGAGATTTGTTTTGGAGAAACAAGGCCTCGTCAAGATTTCAAGGATGCAGACTTTGAATTTGATGACTATGGTCCTGAGGACAAGCGTGTTCCACTTACTCGAGCGAACATGCATACCATCAGAGTCTGTAATTATCATGTTGATACACACCGTGCTGTGGATGCCCACCTACTGACAGGAGAACAGACAGCATTGATGCTTTACGAGTGTTTTGTCTATGAGGTGGACATCATTTCTGGTGATGCAAATAGTTTGGCCTACAGAATGTCTGGGTACAAAAGGCAGCCAATGGCTAACTACTATTACAGCACCATGCAGCATTGGATCTGCAGGTTTTCAGAAGCTCGTGTAAAAGCAGATCCTGGTATCAAAGCACCTATTCCCAGAACATTTTACAGTTCAACTTCACAGGTCCTCAAGAAGTGTGAAGTTTACTTTGATAAACTCTGGGAAGAATATTCTACTGTTGAAAAAGAAGAATACCAAGGATCACAGCTTGGCGATACATGTTTGTCTACCATTGTTGAATGGGGTCATTCAATGAGTGAAGAGGAATATGAAAATTCCACAGTGAGCACGAAGGAGTTCATCTGTAATTTTTCAGAGAACTTTGCTATGATTGACACGGAGGTTATGTGCTCAAGACCCTCTGACGAGGACAGTCATGGTCCAATGTTTATTTCACTCAGACCAGCTTCCTTTTCATCTGGAGACAGAAGACAGTATCGCATGGGAGCAACTCTTCATAAGGCGAACTTGCGGAGGAAGGAGAGACAGAAGCAGAATAGAAAGAAAGGAAGGCCGCCAACTTCTGATCAAGCAGCTTCATCGTCTGCAGCGGCATAATTCCTGAGCGAAGGCTGAAATTTAAATGATGGCTAGGAAGTGAAGATACTTCTGGTTACAGTTGATACTTTGCTTCCAAGCTTGACTTTAAGTTTCCGGGCTGAAGTTTTAAACTTTAGCAGGTAGATGTGGACAGTTTTACATAACTGATGATATCTATCACCACCGCTCTTATGAAGTGACCTCTAATGGACAACCAGTCATGGTTGATGATTAAGTCATTTCATGATTTGCAATTGTAGTGCAAGATTTTTTTGTACATACATTTGCCGGTATCTCCTTCTTGTGTTTTTGATGTGAATGTGAAAGAGAGTCCTTTTGATGCAGTTTTATTTTGTCTGTGGATGAAAGCGGTCGAGACCACGTCACGAGAAGATTATTCCTCGGACCGTACGCTCCTTGCATTTTGCAAGGCATTTTAATTAATTGCATTTGTGCGGTCTTGAGTTTTTGTTTCCTTGTTACGCGAGTGTCGTTTGATTCTTTTATAGGTCTCTGTAGAGAAAAAGCCGCTTTCCCTTTTTAGTTTGATTTAGCTCAGGCCATAAAGAGCTAGTGAGCGCCGGTACATGGTATCTCCGCCTGTGAAAAATACAGTCTCCAGCCGAGGTACATTATCGTTTTGATTTTGTACTTGAGGTGAGTCAGCTATTGCTCCCTCACTGTATTTAGTAGCTTTGAGATTACCTTCTCTATAGTGTGAAACACACTGGATTAGGTAAGTACATGGCACCGTAGTTTTCTTTTAAGTTGCTAGAGCTAGCTGGACTGTTTTAGCCTTGCAGTAGAAAAAGAGTGTGCGACATACGCAATCAGCTAGGAGTGGACATGAATCTTGTGCCTGCTGAAAAGTAGAGCCTACCTGTGCAGGGTTCCACTCCAACAGCCGATATAGTGTGTCCATACTTGACTGCTTCAAGGCTCAAAGAGCAAGAGGATAAGACTCTGCGCATAAAAGACACTAGCGGTCTGCACCTCTACCGTGTACGCCCTAGTCACTCTTTCACCCCCTCCCCCCCCTGAAAAATGTAACTTACCCCCCCCCCCCAGGCCCGGCATTGAGGTACATGAGGGGGGGGAGGGGGTCTAAAAATGTAACAACCTGCCTGTGAGGGATGTAGTTACATTATCTTCCAGCAGCCTCACTGAGTCTTGCGTAGTATTACCTTGGACCATCCTAGACCTGAAAAAATGTAACTTACATTTTTTACATATTTAGTTACATTTTCCCTGGAATAATGTAACTTGCAAAAGTTACATTTTTCATAAAAAGCCTAACAAATGTAAGTTACATTTTTCCAGGTGTATGTAAAGGACTAAACTAAATGTGAGTTACATTTTTTGAGGTCCCCCCCCTGCTAAGAGGTAGGGATGATGTGAATCAACTTGTGATTCATTTAGGCAACAGTCACTTGGAGCACGGTTCGGAGCACTGTTCGGAGCCGCTTTTTGCATCAAATCTCATGGAGGGCCATGGCTCGCTCCACGCTGAGGTGCGATGGTCCAATGCAAGGTCTTGGCGGCCGATTGCCTCGCAGGTGACGCGGAGTACGGAGTACGGACGTCGGTGGAGGGGAGAGGCGGCTTGGGAGTCAGGTGAGGTGAGTCATCGAAAGGACACAAGAAAGTTCAGCAGAGTTGCTTGGGTAGGGGATTGAAAAGCAGGACTTGCTGTAACTTTTAGCTTTCAACATCTTTCAACAGTGAGATCACACATGAAATCAGTCTTGAAACAAGCAAAACCATTGGCCAGAGGATGGATGGTCTCATCTCAGGATCTGGATGGAGCTTGTTTCATGAGCAGAATTGCTTGGGCAGCAGAGGGTTCAATGGTCTCAGGATCTTGTTTGATGAAAAGAACCCGCTTCTTCTACGGAACTCCTGCCTTTGCGGCCGCAACGTCCTTCCACCAGGCTTGAAGCACTACGACGAGGAGCGGAGTGCCGACCTCTCTCCGACCGCGGCGAACGGCTGCTCGTTCGTATGCCCGCTGTGCGGTCTCCCTGCCAAAAAATGGAAGTCAAAGACGGAGACCGAGACAGGACCACGGGTTTTGCGTATTTTTGGGGGGGTTTACTCAGGTTTACTTTGAGCATTTGGAGAGGACGGTGGTGGTGTAAAGCTTCTCGTGGGGGTTTGGCAATCTTTCAAGTCTGGGACAGAGTAGGCGGAGACTGTCAACATAGTGTCCAAGCTTAGATTGTGTGAGAGTAGAGTAGACGGCGGTTCAGTTCGAATCCAAGCACAAGCACAAGCTAGTGGGCCATCCATCATCTACACGACTCAAGAAGAGCCAGGAGTCCTCGGACGCAGTAGGGGTGGCTGTTGGGGTGGCTGTTGGCTCCAACTTCTGGAAGAGATCGGCCCTCGCCCGGACCCCGCGACCGGACCGGACGGACCTCGACTCTCGGACTCTTCCAGGCCAAGGAGGTTGCTGACCAGGCCATCAAGCAAGCCAGTGGCCTGCACGACCGTCAGGCGCCATCTCCGCTGGCCGCGCGGTCGGCCGCGCGGTCGGCCGAGAAAGCGGTCGTCCTGCATCGCTTCGAGTGCACGAGGAAGGGACGGGCGGTCGGTCGTGCCTGACGGTGCCCGGGTCGTCATGGCCAACGGAACACCGGTCGAGGCAGTTGGCCACTTCCTGCGTGAAACCACGACTTGGGGTGAGTGCTGAAGTTGTCCAAGTAACTTGGCCCTAGAATATCTGCCACTGGAATGTTCAAAGGGAAGGTTCACGGAGCGCAACCTCTTGCAGGATGTTCAATGATGTTTTCATTGGTACGGTAAGTGGATGTACAGTACATGTTTCTAAAGTAACATGTGCGACCTCAAAATACTGTACCACATTCATCCGATCAAAAGATATAAAAAGCACCCGTCCGTCTATCCTGAAAAAAACCTCGTTCCTTTTTCAGGATGGGACGGCCCAAACCTTTGCCACTTTGCCAGGCTGAAAGTCAAGCCAAAGGCTGCCTCGAGCGGATCGAGAAAGCTGAGAAGAAGAGTCATTGCCTGAGCGGGGTGGATTGCTGTGCATGAGTTTGATTGCTTTTTTCTGCGGCCACTGGTCCTCAAAGCCTCAAAGAGATGCTTTGCTTTGCTGGTCTCTTGCAGGTATACCATTCTTCATCCCTGCTGGGATTCTTGTGATTGTATCTTCCCTCGCAAATCAATCTTCTCCGTCTTCAATAGTGCCGCTTGGGTGTGCCTCTGGATGTGCCGGGAGCCCCTTTCTAGGACCGAACTGAATACAGAGCCATCCGAGAGCATCCCATGATCTACTTTGAGTATTTGGTTTGTGAAGGTGATAGGGCATAGGGGTGACACTACTAGATGCTGATCATCCCCGCCCTATGCCACCAAATAGACATTTTAGTTCTGTTACCCTCCAACTTACTAACATAGGAGTGGAAAATGGCCCCTTGGAAGACTCGTTTACCCTTAGACACAGGTTCCTTTTTGTTCCACTTCCATGGTTGGTTAGTTGGAGTGTAGCGGTTTATGGGTATGTGATCCAAGAAGTTCACTCTGCCATGGTGTTTTCCTCTTCCTTCTTTGATCAAGACGGCGCCGTCTTTCTTCCGAGGCAAGGAGGTGGTGGCTCCCCCCCGTGCAAGCGGCCATTGCCACCGAAGCGTTGGGGGACTCGGAGCCTTCCCCCAGAGGCTTTCCCGAGGGATCTCCCAGATGTATCTCCCAAGGATCTCCCAGATGTATATCCCAGGACTTCTAGATGTATCATGATGTACAATTGACTCGTAACTGCTCTAGATGTATCTAGATGTATACCATCCAGATATCCCCACTGGACATCCCTCCCTCCTCCCCCCTCCCAGGCGTTCCGCTCCACTCCGAGGCCCACCGGCGCTGCGCCGGCCGCCGCGCCCGCGGCCTCGGCGGCGGCCGAGGCGCCCAAGGGCCTGGATGCGGCGCTGGCCACGAAGCGGCTGATGAACATCGTGGGGAAGCCCCGGCGCTGAACGCAGTGTGCGGTGGGGGTGTGGGGACGTTCGATTTCCGTGGGAAAAGAACGCTTGTTTCACCGTGAAGTTGAAGCTCCGTGGGGATGGGGGGTGGCCTTTGATGCCATTCCGCACCTGTGAGTCTCTCTTCTTCAAGACGAAGACCCACGTGTGCGTCGACGTGACGAGGTGAAAGACGTCATCGCGGCCGACGATGAGATCAGCGTCCGGGAGCGAAGGTCACACCAGTGGACCGGTCACACCGGTGGCTTTTTGAAGCAAAACACGGTCCAGAATTTGGTGGATGGTGGACTTGCTTAGTGTTTTCTGTATCAAGTTGAGTAAGCGGGAAATGGCAGGCACGAGATGAAGAAGTTGTGTCATGAGGCTGTAATGAAGTTTCGCAAAAGACATGCCCTGGTCACTGGTGCCCTTTTCTCTTGGCGTGAAGGCGATAGAAGGTCTGCGGTGGAGGAGCGTTTCGGGAGGATTTCGGAGATGAATCACAACCCGCCCTTCAGACAGAAGTCCTTTTTCTGCGCTTAAGTGTAGGGATCTAGTGGAAGTTGTTCTTCACCTTCAGCTTGTTTGGTCGTGGCTTCCTAGCTTTCCCCAAAGTACCAGCTCCTTCGATGGCTGCTTCTGAGGCTGATAGCCCTCTCATGGAAGCGGGCATGGACAGCATGGGGTCCCAGTAACCCTGGACGCCGAGGTCACCGCCACAGACCGAACCCCTATTGGTTCGGTCGGGTGTGGCCCAAGAATTGGCGTGGAATCAGTAGATGCGACGCCAGTGATTGGAACTTCTTCGGGCGCGAAAAAGCTCCGTTCGTAGCGTCCGAACGCTCCTAGTAGTAAGGCCAGGAGCCCCGTTCGTAGCGTCCTTGCTCCCAGTAGCGATGCCCTTTGCTCCTAGGACGCTACTAGTCTTGGCGACGCTTCTTCGCTCCGCTACGGACCAGTCGACGCCTCCCTCCGCCCCTGATGGAAGAGAAGCGGTGGGTGGACATGGGGACACAAGCACCAAGGTCTTTTTGGGACGGCGACGAGAATACGAGAAGCACCAACAATTCTTTACAAGTTTCAGCAACAGAAGCGGTCCTTGTGATGAGCTCAACTGAGCTTCAAGCTTCGGACGTCTATGAAATCCTCTGGGTTTGGGTTGAAGAAAGTACCATCCATTACTTCTGTGCTTTGCAGAGTGCACCTGGCCCAAGGTCTGTCTTCCGTGCAGCTGGTCACAGAGGCGGCAGAAGTGGCAGAACTGCGCGATTCTAGGAAACTACAGTGGATGGACAAGATATTCCATTGGTTTTGAGTCAGGGAGCTGTCACGAACTCCTTACCCCCCAAAGTTTAATGTCGAATGTGACACTTCTTTTACGTCAAGGTGGGGGCTGAAGGGTTTCAATATTGCGTTTTTGGGTGTGTCATGTTGAAGGTGCATCAAATAAGATCAAGATCAGCTTGAACAGGCTTTCCAGGGGACCTTGCTTTTACAACATGAAGTATGAGTGATTTGCCCCCCGTAGAACTGATAATTAGGTCGCCCCTCTTCTTTTTGGTGCGGTCGCACACGTCCGACCAACACATGCGCCGTGGGTGTCAGGTGTCCAAGGAGTTCCAGATGAGCTTGTCGCCTTCCTTGGTCTTCGACTTCCCCAATGTTTCGGTCCGGGCTGCAGAACGCCGAAGCGACGAACGCGTTGGCAGTGTCGCCGCACGAAACAGCGCAGTGTCGACGGCCGTTGGTCACACGGGTTTTACGTTGCACGGGAGATTTCCAGGACGGAGCGGTCTTCCGGGACGAGGGAGATGACTGTTTCTCCGCAGGACTTCGACGTGAGGGAAGCACGGATTGGTGATGAGTGGATCTCCATGATCCACCGATGTCATCCATCCGATTGGTGAAAGATGGATGACTTGGAACCAGGCACCGCAAGCAGGAGCTTCATAGGAGCTTCATAGGTCTACGGGTCGATGTCGAACAAGGTCACCCAACCAATCTGGTGGCTTCGACCTTCCACTTTTCTGAAACAACATGCCCGGCCCAACCAGCCGCTCTACGCCGCGAACTGAGTCCATCGTCAACCACTTGGTCGAAGAAAGTCAGGGCTGATTGGACAACAGCGCCGAGGCGATTGGTTTGGGAATGGCGAACCAACTCTCCCTGAGTTTGTTCAACAAACATGGAGAATTCCCAAGGGATTCTCAAGCCTAACAAGTTGTAGCTTGTTCGTCTTGTTTCTCTTTTAATGCAGTGTCTTGTGTGGCTCTCAACTACGAAAGGCAGATGAAGCATGACAAGTCGGTGTGAGACAAAGTTCATCAGACAACGTTCAGCAGCCACACAGACTCCTAGAGGAGTTGAGGAACGTTGTATTTCCAAGCCTGCACAACCATGGATGTGAGGGTACTCCGTTTGCCCAATGATTGCATTCTTGAGTGGAAAAGAGAATCCACAGTCCACCGTCAGATGATTCTGCCGGAGCAGGAACCAATTGTGCAGAAAGGTGCAGAGAAGGCAGGGCAAACGTGGCTGGGAGTCCAGATTAGAATGCATGTGTATGTAGACTGGCTGCTGGTTTGCACTGATTTCCACTCCCTGTTGGACATGCTGTACTTACTCTACTCCAATGAACATCATGAACTGGCTACCACCCACCGGTGCGGAGCCATTTGTTCCAGTCGACTCTCTCACCATTCCGCTCTGGCGGAAGGAGTCGGTTTGCTCCGACGCTGGTCCGGCGGACGGCCGTCCGACACGTCAGACCACCATTGGGACACACGGAAAAGGCCAGGCATAGCTTCCAGCCCAGCATGGCGGGAGGTTTGGCCGCAAACATCTGCAAACCCCAGGTGGTCCAGCGGTTGCGGGTTGCAGTGATGGCGGATGTTTGCGAATAGGATCCCTGAGACAAGAAGTGTTGAGCGTGATTTGGGCGTAGGCATGAAGACTGGGTCTTACTCCAACATCTGCATGTTTTGAGCATGTAGGCCCCATTTTTGGAGCACAAGGACGTAGGCCATAGAGTTCTAAAGACTTGGCCAAGTGTGTTCGCCTTGATCATCACATGTGACCTGTTTCGCTCGGGTCCGAATCCCATGGGCCCTGCACCACCACAGAATCGGGCCGTTTTCGCCGACACCGGGCGGACCCGGAGGCTGTTGGAGACCGGGTGGACGTTCGCGCGTCTTCCAAAGAGCTGTGAAGAGCTGGTCCATGGTGGGCAGAGGGGGTCTTTGCATCGAATACACCCAAACCACTCTGTTTGGGCCGGTCTTTGAATTGGGTCTCAACGTGTCTCAACATCTGCCAGACATAAAGGCGCCCAAAGTTTTTGCAGCCTAACAGATACCACTTGCAGATCTTCCGGACTTTGGAATCGAGAAACATCTTTGACTTGGTGTCCAGAGAAACATCTATGCGTTTCTGTGAACGTGTTTGCATTCGCTAGAAAAAAAAGGCAACACCCGGGGTTCTTGAAGCCATCTTCCCGAGCGTCCTCCGGGTGAGGATCTGGAGCTCGCTCGGGCGAGTCGGCCCTGTTCTTCTTTTTGCCTTTTGACGAGGACGAAAGTGATGAATCACATCTTCCTATTCAGACTCGTGCGACTCGTAGGGAATGAGGGAATGAACCACCCCTGTAGACCCCTCAGGATCCAGCCACCCATATTCCCATATTCCTCACGCACCAGTTGCCGTCTTGTAAGTGGCGAATCGCCGTGTTGGCGTTCCAAGCACCTACTGGATTGATCGTTCCAAGCACCGATAGCTCCCGACAACGATGGACGCGATGGACGCAAAAGGACGCAAAAGGACGCGAGAAGCAGATCCGGCCGGGCAACCTCTGAATGTTGGCTTCAGCCATGATTTGATGAGATCTGAAGTTTGTTGATCTGAAGAACCGAACCGCAGCTTCGAAGAATTTGAGACAATGAGACTCATCAGGATCCTGTAGGTGTTCAGCCATGTTTCTCCTGGCAGAACGTCTTTATTTGCAGGGAAGAAAAGGCATGTCTTTTCTGTTCGCTTTTGCCGACGATCTTTTCGCTGCCGTAGCGCTGCCGTAGCGTAGTGCGCGGCCCGCCGCCGATGCGGCTTCTGAGCCAGCACATGCTTGGAGAGCCGGAGGCGCCAGGGTTGGAAGCGAGACACCCGGCGGGTCATCGCCCCCAACGAACGAAGGAAGGTGGCTCTGATTGTCCGTTTTTTTGAGGGCGAGGGTATTATGACCCGGCTTCCAACTCTGGGGATTGCAGGATGGCTTTCACCCGCAATTGAAGATGATGTGAAGATATGTGGAGCGAGTGCAAAGCATAGATGGAAGAAAGGGACAGTAGATGGGAAGAAAGACAAGGAGGCTCTCGGACAGCTAGGTCAAAGGATTGGATTCTGGTGGAATTGGTGGTCTTGGTGAGCCGCACGAGACAAAAGTGAATGGACTTGGACATAGCAAATGGGATAGAACATTTCACACGCCATACGACTCATATGAATTTACAAAAAGTTCTGTTAATACTGTATACAATATGACCTCTTTCCTTTTCCTTTTTCCTCACGGATTTTCTAGTCCGGGGATGATATGGGATGATGGCATTGACCAAGACTCAGTGCTTGGTGACCAAGCTCCCACGCAAGGCCAGCCAGTTGCTGGCCTTTCCGCGGCGAAGCCGACCAAGCTTAGTGGCGCAGGCCGTTCGTGGAGTGTGTTCGTGATGTGGATGGCGTTTCATGTGTGAGGTCATTGCGTCCAACGAAAAGACACATGTGACGCAACACTGGCACTACTCATCACCTCACCATGGGGTGGTTTGGGTCACGGCCTAGCGGGAGGCAGACTGGTCCACCTTGCTGACGGGCAAGAGCAAGCTGCAAAGTTCCGCTTTCTTGTGTGGCCCGCAGGCGGAAAGCATGGTTTGTTTGTTCATGAACTTCATGAACTTTCGCCCGGAGAGTGGTTTCAGGGCATTCCCCAAAGATGTAGCGGCCATTTTTGTTCGGTGATTTCGAGAAAATGGACAGTCGCGGGGTGCAGTTTTGCGCAGAAATTCGTAGGCATCACAGCCTTGCTTTAGCTTTTTAAATGACACTTCTTCAAATTGGGTGACTACCTGAGTGAGAGAGGACCTGCTTAGCTGTTCTGCTACAACAGTATTTGGCGTGCTCCACGATGCCTCGCCAGGACCCCGACGCGCACGCCCCAGCGTGTGGACTCAGCGATGTTTCGTGTGAAAAAACGACGCTTCAAAGGAGGGATGCGAGCGAATCGACCTAGACGACCTGATGACGAATGATGAGGCATGCAGGTTCAAACATCGTGATATATAGCGGGTTAATGACATAATTCCACAATGGGTTGTTTCATGTTGTTTCGCCTCACGTGAGGTAGGTTATTACATCACTCTGACGGTTTTTTTCGTGGCACCGACCGGTTTTTCGAGGCCTTCCTTCGAGGCCGAAGCTCGCTGCGCGCTGCGCGAGCGCTTGACCTGAGAGCCATGGAGCCAGATACCATTGGCACTGCGTTGAGAAGTTTGAAGTTTGTGTCTTTTTTGTTTTGAAGAAAGATAGGAAAGAAAAAAGGTTCAACAGGACCAGTAAAAGAACAGTCGAACAACTATACTTTACTGTTACTGTATTTGTTTCTTTTGTTTTTGGGCTTGGCTTTCTTTATTTAGCTTTTGATGGCATTTGAGGGCACTCGTTTTTTGTCGCTCCTTCCGAGAGCCCGGCCATCACTCCGTCGGTCGCGGCTATGGAACCATCGAGCGTCGATTTTTGGTCACGCTGTTCTCGGAGGCCGGAGGGGCGTGTGGCCAAGCTCCTACACGAAAGAGGAGAACGATGAGGTGCATCGATTTGGGTCGTGGACGAGCCAGCCCTGCGGATCCCTTCCGCGTTTTAGAAGGTATGGCGCTTCAAATGGACCATTCGCAAGGTACTCTTCCTCTAACCACCAGTTCCCACAGTGCAGTGAACATGTTCCTTGTTCATAGCCAGACTTCCTACGCTTCCTACTAGTAGTTCATAGCCAGCTGGGATGACCAGAAACCACAGGTGACGTTCTTTATTTTTCTTCACTTTCACAGCGAAAATAGACCAGATGAACAGCGATTTTCCTTTTCACATCATGTTTCTTCTTAGCACATCAAGCACTTTGCAGTTTTCCCATGTTTTCCATGAGTTGCCCAGGTGGAGAACACGCAGGAGCATCAAGCAGAGAAAGAAGCATCGTCACAGGAGGCGCTTTTCATGGCTGCGATCGTAGCTCGTAGTGACAGACCTCTGAAAGCTCGAAAATCAACACTTCTGAAAGCCCACAACAGGAAGGGTTCAAGCCTTTTCTCCCCGCACATCACCCAAAAACCATCACCTGCCGTTCTTGGCTTCTTCTTTTTTGGTCTCCGGGTGAATCCGGAATCATCCAGAGGTCCATCCGGTGCGCCGCAGAACGTGCCAGGTGGAGCTGAATCCGGAGTGCGCGGTGCCGAGCCGGACATGTGAGCGGGGGAAGGCAGTCCTGATCAGTGAAGAAGCAGAGATCGTACGCACGATCAATCATCGGAAGCAAGATCAATCAGGAATCAGTCTTGCCATCCACGTGTACGTAGATGAGGGACCACTCTACCATACTCTACCCCATCAAATTGATGATTTGCAGATGTTCAGATCTTTGTCTTCGAGCTGCCGTCTTCCAAACGAATCCATCAGCAATCCGTCTGTTCATCCTCCCAAACCGTCGCCCGTCTCCTCGGCTCCGTTCGGCCTCCGCTCCGGAACCGCCCGAGGCTCGAAGACTCGGAAGAGCGGCCTGCCTCGGTGTTGCCTCTGCGCCAATGGCGCGGGGAACGGGTGGGAGGGGTTGGGAGGTGTGGCGTGTGAGGTGGAAGATGGAGGCACGAAGTCACGAAGAAGTAGTGATGTGCGAAGAGCAACACTGAAGTCTTTTCTTGGGTCAAAGATATGCTCAGTCTTTGTGAGTTTTGTGACAGTCCGAAAGGTCCTAGGAGTCCTAGATGGCTTTGATGATGCCTTTCGCGCTTCCTGTCTGGGTGTCCTGTCTGGTGACCTATAAGCAGTGTAGGGTTGTCCATTGGTAAATCCTTGGAAGCAGCTGGTGTGTTGTGTATAGATTGGATTATGCAAGTGTAGTGGTGCTGGTTTCCTCCAAAACAGGCCCATAGGTGCTTAATATGGGCTCTAGCTGCAATTGAACGTCACTTACTCAGCGTAGTAGCATGGTAGCAAGTGACCCTGCCGACCCTGCGCGGCCGCCCAAATGGAGTCATTGAAACAGGAGTATCGATGGAGATATAGAACTATATATATACCATTATATACCAATTTTGACCACCCCAAACTACACTTTTGGGGCGCTCCACGACTTGATCCCTCTGTTTTCTGACTGAAGAAGCACAGAGTTCCGTGCTAGGTGAGGCCATTTGGTCTCAGGATGGCAGCTGTAAGCATTGCAAAGACAATGGAGGCATCAAGGACTGTGCTGCGGCCGGCGAAGGTGGCTTGGACTGCACTGAAGAGTGCAGCCCAGCTAGACATGCAAACATCAAACAACTACAGAAGGAGTTTTTTTGGGCTTAGCGGCTAAGAGATCATGTGAACAAGACCCTTCCCTGTCTCTTGTAGGTCGGTCACCGCGGGGTCGGTCTTTTGGTTGAAAGATTAACCCGAACGTTGTGCGCAACAGCCTCTTGAGGCAGTTCCAGTTTCAGGGTTGCTTCTTTCGTCCGCCAGATGGGCACCATCTTCCACCACACGGACCATCCATCGACTCCGGACCATCGACTCGGACCTTCCTGCAGCACTGGGCCTTCCCCCGGCTTCAACGCCTCGACCGAACTGGCCAGTCGGAGGGTGGGAGATGGCCGGTCTCCGGACGCATAGGACAGGAGGGGTCGGTGGGCCATGCGTTTCATCCCGAAGTCCGAAGAAAAGGGGGTCCATCTCCGAATGGATCCGTTCCAGTCCCTTAGCTCTTGGTTGATGCCCTTAGAATCCGGGCCCCTCAAACAGGGTTTGGTTCGGGCCCTTTTACCCCGGCGTTTCGGTGTCGGGTCCGACCCCTGCCATGCAGAGCACAAGGATTCTTAGCCAAGTCGCCGGCCCATTCGCTCTTCGTTTCGAGGCGCCGAAGCGAACCGTCTCGGGACCGTTTCGAACGGTGGGACCGCACGCCACGCTGACGCTGAGACTGCACACCGGGCTCCAGCAGTTGGCCACTCAAGTACAAGGAGGTGTGGAGATCGGAGGGGATTTTCGGCCACCTGCGACGCGATTTTTGGGGATAGAAGATGATAGAAGATGTTTTGATGGATGTAAACGGGATTGTGAAAGTGAGCACGAAGCGATGATTATGATGATGATGATGATGATGATGATGATGATGCGGGGATCTATATTTTTTGAAGCAGTCATAGCAACATAAATGGCTTGCGGGGCACCTGTTTCAACCCTGTATGAGAGAGCAGAAGTTAGTTTAAGGGGTGGGTGGACATTGATAGGTCAGTTGCTGTAGTCCTATGGTGAAAGGCGTGTGCTTTTTGAACATCAGCCTGGCTTATACTACTAAGACTATAGTCACTATAGTCATTGGGAGCTTTCAGCTTCGGACAGGAAGGAGGCCGGAGCTTCGCGTGACCAGCCCATTCTCGTGTAGGTTAATTCATGGAAGCGCTCTGTTCATATCGCTCCTCCAAGCGCCCCCCACCAGGCCTTGGGATTCTGCCACCGCGCAGGTGGATGGTGAAGACAGCAAAGAAAAGGATTGGACACTTGATGGAAAGCAATACAAGCTTGAGGGATTGGGCATGAGGTTGGGAATCACCCAGTTCTTCGCTCTTCTGTTA